TCTATTAGTCAAGAGTGTGGTGGGTAAGAGTGGATACCCATTGGTGGTCATTTTACAGGCCGCTTCCTTAAACACCCCTTATAGACCATTTTCGTGAGTGAGACCTACTAACGGTAAGACTAGCCTTTTATTTATACATATATAATATATTAGACTTTTAATTTTATATAGTATAAGGGTGTATTTTACACTTTTAAAATACTAAGTGGTTTAATCTATTAATAAATCAGACTTTTAATTTGATTAATCTTAAACCATATAATTATGGATTTATTAATCATCTCTTTTAATTAAACACTTAATTACTCTAATAAAACCATAAGAGTGTAATTTGAACTATTCAAAATACTAGGGTTATAGAATTTAATATTTCAAAATTAAAACATTTTAATCAAATTTTAAATTCCAAAACTTGAGGATAAATTTTGAAACTTTTCAAAATATTAGGGTTTAACTATTTAAATTTCAAAAACTAAAACTTTTAATTCCAAATTTAAATTATAAAACCTAAAACGGTGTAATTTAGAACTTTTTTAAGATTACTAGGTTAAATATTTGAATCAAAATAATCCTATATTATCCATATTTAACTAAATCCACCATTTTTGATAAGGATATCCATACCAATCATAAAAAATCGAATTTAGGCAACAAACACGAGTTTTGGTAATTATCCAAATAAAAAACTGGTCAAAAAATCGAAAATCCCGGCAACAGAACCTTGGACTCGTCGAGTTCATGCAACTCGTCGAGTCCATACATGGACTCGTCGATTCAGCCTGTCAGACAGATTTTTTTTTTGACTTTTTGATCCTTTGGCAGTTCACTTTTGTATCTATTCAATAGAAAAACGACCTAGGCTCTGATACCACTGTTGGGTTTTGAGCATAACATCATTCCTATAGTGTACATGCAACCCTAATTGCTTTGGATAATGGTTTTTCTAATGTGAACATACAATTATGAATACCAAAGCAATAACCCTATGACTATCATACATATATCAAAAATCACATATGATTAGGGTTAGAATCTTTACATCTCTTGATATGTAGCAATAACAAGTTTAATCCTTCTTGATCTTTACTTCTGAAAGCCTAGTGCCCCTAGTGTTGCACCTCTAATAGAGTCACAAACACCCAATGCAACAAGATGACTTAGGAGAGAAGAAGAATTTGGCTAGGGTAAATCAAAGAAGACGTAAAGTCGAATTCTCATGTATAAGGGTCTATTTATAGTTAAGGCTATTAGGGTTTTAAGGTGGAAACCCTAACTTCCTTGTTTAGGCCTTAAGCAATCCATGGAACCCTTCTAGAAGGCCCCTTGGACGAAATCCTTATGGGCTTCCCATAGATTTCGTCCAATCTCTTCTATTAGGAGTCCATAGCCCAACTAGCAACTAACAGTTAATTGCAATATCAGTCCCCTTTACATAATCAGTCTCTTTTTTACCACCAAATTAATTTCTGATCAATACCAATTAAATAATATAATTTCCAAATAATATATTAATTCCGTAATATATTAATAAAACCATTTTTAGTACTAATTTATTATTCATATAATAAATTCTACTCTCTCTCTCTCCTCTTGCCATCCTATCAAGTTGCATGAGTGAAGGCAACCCAAAACGGACCAGGCTCATAATCGGGTCAAGTACATACCAATAATAGTTATGACCTTAGACACCTAATCCAACAGAAATAAGATCAGGCCGCGTACGTTGGGCGTACGCAACTGCCATGGACTTTTGACTTTGTTGACTTTCATTGACCGTTGGATTTTGACCAAGTTTTAATTTAAGTAAAACTTGAGGGGTTTTGGACTGTTAATTAAGTTTTTACTTGGTTTTGGTGATTAGTAGATTCGTGGGAGCACTCAGTGCAAAAAGGGGAATGCATCTCAGTTTTCAGAGTTTCTTCATTTTAGGTGAGTTTTGCCTCATTGTACCCATTGGTCGAAGGCACCAATGTTGACACACTAGTTTGGTTATCTTTTAGAAGAGGGATGCTATAGAGATTGTATGTATTCATGTAGGATAGACCGATGACTTTTGATCTAGACTTTCTTGCATGTTCTTTGTTTGGTTGTGGCTCTAAAGTAGGATCACCTATCAGGGTGTCTATCTCACCTCTGAGTATATACAATTATGTATTCTTTGGATTGTTGGTATTTAGTATGTTTCTATATTGTAGTGATTTGTTAGATCTGTATACTGCTATATAAGATGTTATGTTGTAGTGATTTGTTAGATTTGTATCATGGTATATAGGATGTTGCTATGTGGTAGCGATCTATATGACTACCCGTACTAGCTGTTTATAATCTAGTGGAGCGACCTAGGGATTGTATGTAGTCATGTAGGAGAGCATGAGAACTCTTAATCTAGTCTTTCTTGCCTACTCTATGTTTGGTTGTGGCTCTAGAGTAGGATCATCTGTTCGAGTGGATATCTCACCTCTGGTTACTTATGGTTACACATTTCATAGAGGTTAGCTAGTAGTAGGACAATGAGCTGTGAGAGGGCTAGTAGGCGGTATTAAGCTGTATGATTAATGTTTTCATGTATTATATGCCTGCTTGATTCTTGATTGTTTATATGTCAACATATGGTGGTAGTGGTTTGAGGTAGTCCAAAACCAAAAACCTAACTTATCACAAGATCGTAAACCCCATAACTTATACATGGGTTGAAAGAAAGGACAAATATAACATTTTTATGATTCAAGGCACTCAAAAACATCAGAAAAGGTCACTCACAAGGTCTTAAATAGTTTATACTCAAGTCGAACAACAATATGGGACAAAAAAGGACATAAATCTAAAGCTAACAATATTTATCAAGTTATTCATCAAGCTCTGAACTTTATACCTTTTGTAGAAGGCTCAAGAGGTGCAAATCCCACATCCACATGGCTTGAAGCTTTCCACGTGCTCTCAAATGAACTTCTTCCTTCAAAGATGATCCTAAAACACTCAAATACCTCAAAAACTCTCAAATGATGATTAGGGTTTCGAGGTGGGGCTTAAAGGAAGTGAAGGCTTATCATAGAAGGCCTCAAGGGGTTTAGAGCCTTTAAATAGGGCTTTAAACCCCAAAATAGGGTTTAGGCATTGACTACGTACGCCCTGCGTACATAGACTTACGCCCAACGCAAGTCATTAAAACCCCATGTCTACACAACCATTTACGCGTTGTGTAGAGCTAAGTTACGCCCTACGTAACTTCCAGAACTCCACCATTTCAACATTTAATAATTTAATTAGTGAAGGAACTTTACTTGAGGGGACTTGATGTTACACGATTAAGCCCAACTGCTTATCAATCCAAAATTAAACCTTTAGTCCAAAGTGTTATGCTCATAGCCTAAAACTCTTATTCCTTAAGGTTTTATCCATAATTTTTAAAAACCGAGACATTCTCTTAACTAAATGAAAGTCTGTATTCCCAAATAATGAAATATCCAGAAACCGGATGTTACTTGGTTGTTTTGTTCTTTATAGTAAAGGTTGGTGAAGGCTTGCTTTTGGGGGATAATGATATCAATAATAATTTACGACAATGATGCTAATTGGCCAATTGGATTATCTTTCTTTCGTCTGCGTTATGATTGTTTAAGAACGAACAACGACAATGGCATTACTTCTATAACCTGCGAGCATTGTTGGTCGCCAAGTGTTTTGCCTCAAGGATATTTTGCCTCAATATGGTTGGATGTAGTGATGCTTTTAGTTAGGATGAATGCTTGATGGAAAAATATTCGCGATTAACATACTAAATTTTGTTGATTCCTAATATGGTTAACTTGTGGATTGAAATTTTGTTGTACTGGCGTTCCAAATGCAACATATCCACCTAAACTGTAAGGATCATTTGGAGAGACACGCATACCTTCTTGCAGTGTTGCAAAACTCGGCCTAGGCGATCGATTAATTGAAATCGGGTAGGGGTCGAGGCGCCTAACTAGGAATCGGTCGAAAAACTCGGAATCGGTCGAAAAACTTTGAATTGATCAAACTTGGTCAAAAATTGTTCAAAATCAGCTCCAATTCAGTCAAAATCAGAAAAAATAGGAATTTGAAAAAATCTAAAAAAAATTGAAGAAACTCAAAAATTCTAACTTTTTTTTAGAAAAAAATATATGATTATTATTGATATTCATCTATTTTATTATAATTTTTAATAAACTTGTAATATATATATATATATATATATATATATATATATATATATATATATATATATATATATATATATGTATAATTTTTTTTAAATTAATTTAATATAATTTATTCAATACGAGTACTCACTGAATACTCGTTAGACACTAGTCAGCCGCCCTGAGAACGCCTAACGAGTTTTGCAACATTGTCTACTTGATTGTTGCTACTTCTTTCGCTAGATATATTTTTAGCAGAGATTTTCCCCCGTTTTATATTGGAACCTCTTCCGCTGCTTGATCGATTCCCACTACCAATAAAACGATTTGCAACATCGTACTGAATAAATTGTGGCTCTTCAACCGGTTCGTTATCTAATAGATACAAATGTGTAGGTGTTGAAATTTGTAGAGTAATCTTTTTTAAACGCGTCACATTACCCTCATCGACTATTTTGTATGACATACTTCAATATTAGACACATTACCCTCATCAACTACTTTGTATGGCATATTTTAGTGTTAGGTATTAGAAAGACACAATGATATTAGGTTTGTCTTCCAAACTTGTTTTCTGTTTGAGAACATTATATATATCCCAAAAATTGACATATAACGGAATTTCAATACAAAAGTTTTTAACAAACGATCTAACGTATATCAATTCTCTATTTTTTGATTGACATTAACTATCGATTCAAACTGCAATAAAGTACTCTTTTGAAATGTTAGAACTCATGTTTAGTTAACAAGAATAGAAATTGTGAGTTGGAGAATTTTTTCTAATAAAATCAAATAAAAATACATAGTGGAAATCTAAAATTCAGACAAACGATCGATTTTTGTAGATATGATTTGCAAAAATCAGAGCTATCTTTAAAAAAAACTTAATTATTGTTGCTATTTTTATGAAAAAAGTTTGGAAAAGAAAAGGCTTGTTATTTTTTTTTCAAAATTATTTTCTAATTAAAAATGTAAAAATCCTCGAAGCAATTTCGGGTTGTTGGATGGTATGATGCTACATAGAAACATGGGATTGCTTACACTGTATACTGCCTTCCCCGTTCGTTGTCATCGGCAACTAAAACCCTCCTGCAACCACCTTCTAAAACCCTACTGTTTCACTCAATCACAATCGGCCGCCATGAAATCCCCCCTCGAAGAATCCGACGTAGGCATCTCTTGCTACATCTCCCCTCTCCCTGGCTTTCGTGGCATTCTCAAGCAAAGGTATCTTCTTCCCCTCTCACATCCTTCACTATTTGAGTTCAATTGAGCTTTTGTAGCTACCTTCGCTCGTCCTTTTGTCTGAAATCTCCTCTTTTTGTGTGCGTAATTCTTCCCTCTCTCGTTATTGCACTTCGATCTATAGGTCAAATGATGTAATGTAAACGATAAACATTCGTAATGATTCTGTAAACGTGGAACAGTTGTGAATTTACATTTAATTTAAATGAAGAGTATGCCTTTTGATTTTATGTTTCCTTGTGTACAGGTACTCTGATTTTATAGTCAATGAAGTGGATTTGGATGGAAATGTTGTTCATTTGACCTCCTTAGATGCACCAATGGAGGTCTGTTACCATCTCTTATCATCTAATTCGCCATCATTTCCATTCATCTTAACATCTGAGTTTAACGATCTACATTTTTCCGATCCAGACAGCAGAGGAACATGAATCAAAGACTACAAATCAACCAAATGGTAACCATTGTAGTGAAATCGAATCGTTTAGAGCCCTAGTTGGTGACTCCCGATGCCAACTCCCTGAAGGAATTTATAGATAAGATAAATTCAAATGATGAAGATGGAGTTACAGTTACCAATACCTCCATTGTTCTTTCTCCAAGTTCTGATAAAGTTCATCGAACAGTAGGAATCTCTTTTCTCAATGCTTCTTTTCATCAACTACAGCTAATCAACAGCATGTGTATGTGTAATTTACTAATAATTTGCTCCCTTTAGGCAGTTCATAATTTTTTCAAAGAGAAACTCAAGTTCTTGGTTACAGACACAGTAGATGGACCTGAATCTTCATCAAAATGCATACGTGTGAGATTGAATTCAGGGGGGAATAATGAAAGAGGCAGAGGTTCTAAGAAGAGGAAAGGAAGAGATGAGACTCCTTATGATAGTAGAGGTTCAGATCATTGGCCTGAGCATCTTGGAAAGTTTCTCAGGTAGTGTCTACTATAGCAACATCCTTTCATTAATGACAATGTGAAGCTTTATATTCTTTAATATTTTATTAATGACAATGTTTTCGAATCTTCATCTCCAGATTTCATCTTTGTAAGGAAAACAAGGATACACAAGAGGCATTAGGGGTGATTGGAAAGATGCTTGGCATTCAGGTTATTGCTGTTACTGTAATGCTTACACATCATTTTGAGTAATTCAATCAAATTGGAATTTTTTTAAATGATAAAATTGTTTATTGGTTTTGTTTTTACAGCCAAGGGCATTTGGATTTTCTGGTACAAAAGATAAGCGTGCGGTAACAACTCAAAGGGTAAATATTCTTTTTGTATTAATGTACACAAAAATGTTAATATTTATTTATTTTTATTTTTACATTTTCTCTCTATCTATGAAGTCTGACATTTTGGCATACTTGAAATCTCAGGTCACTGTATTCAAACAGCATGCAAACAAAGTGGCTAATCTAAATAAAAGATTAATTGGAATTAAAGTTGGCGATTTTTCGTAAGTGCACTGAATTTAAAACTTTTTTTCTCATTTTTAATCAAATCTTTTAACATGTGAATGTTTAATTTTGTAATTTGTATTTAGTTATGTCAATGAAGGTCTTCTTCTTGGTCAACTCCACGGAAATCGATTCACAATCACACTAAGGTTACTTTGATAAGGCTGCATTTGCTAGATGGGGATATTTTCAACGATGAGGGCATTTACGTCTTTTTGCATCTTTGTAGGGGGGTGGTTGCAGATTCTGAGGATACTGTAAAAGCAGCAGCAGATGCTTTAGGAAAACATGGATTTGTAAACTACTTTGGTATGCAGGTAATAAGGTGTCACTCACATGAATTAATTTATGTAAAAAAAAAAAAAAAAAAAAATGATTAATATAATTAATATATATGGATTGTGAAACAGAGATTTGGGAGTGGTTCTATACCTACTCACCTAATTGGTGCTAAATTACTTAAAGGAGAATGGAAAGAAGCAGTGAGCATGATTCTTGATCCAAGGGATGGTGATATCCTTTTAGTTTCTGATTTTTAAAATTTAAATTTATTTTTATAAATTGAGAAAGAATTATTTGTTTTCTTTAATATAAGTTTTTGAATACAAAAAGATGACATAAGGAGGATTCGGGAATATTATAAAGAAAGTGAAGACATTGATGGGACTTTGAGACAATTACCTCGCTTTCTTGTGGCTGAAAAGGCCATTGTAAGTTGCACCTTTTTTTTTTTTTTTTTTAATGATAACTTTTAAATAAATATTATATTTGATTCATGTTTATATATATATTTTTTGTTTATCAGCTGCAGTGTTTGAAAAAGTGTCCTGGGAACTACTTGCAAGCTCTGAAGGCTGTTCCTAGGACCCTTAGAATGATGTAAGTAGTACTTTTTTTTTTTTTTTTTTTTTATTATATATCAAAAAAAGAAATTAGACAATATGTCAAGTACTTGAACAATATGTTTGTGGTTTGTTTTCAGGTATGTGCACAGTTACCAAAGCTATCTATGGAATCATGCAGCTAGCATGAGAGTACAAAAATATGGTACGAATTATATATATATATATATATATATATATATATATTATTAATTGGGTTGTGTTATAGGGAATGAGGAAGTAGTGTTGGGGGATTTGGTGTATTGTAATGAAGAAAGTTGTAATGAAATAAAGGAAGTCAAAGTCAATGATTCTGAATATGAAGAAAATAATGATTCATTAGAGAATAACCATTTAGATGAGGCTGATGCACTTCCATCTGAAGGAACTTGTACCTCAGTAAAGGTCAGGAAATAACAACCTTATTATTTCATTTCTTCTTATTACATTGCAACATTATAGTTTGAAAACTCCACCCAATTATATATTTTCTTTATTTGCTTGTTTTACAGGTGGTTAACAAGGAAGACATTCTTTCAGGGAATTATACAGTTTCTGATGTTGTCCTTCCTTTGCCTGGGTAAGTTACTACATCCCACAAACTTCACACTTTATGTTTTTGTTTCTTTAAACTTAATTTTTTTTTATTCGGGCAGTTCAAGGGTAATTTTTCCAAATAATGACATTCAACAATATTATCAAGATTTAGCTGACAAGGTGAGTTTTCTTGCTTCTCTTTATTCTTATATATATATATATATAATTTCTGATTTCAGTTTTGAATTTTTGTTCCATGACAGGATGGTGTGAGCTTGATGGAGAGTGTGCATAATGTCAAGTGAGTTGTTCTGCTTGCTTTTTTTTTTTTTCAAACATGATTTATAAATACTTTTTATTTAATCGTAATTTTATTAATTCTTTTGGCAGGGAGTTTTCGCTAACCAGCATGACAGGAGCTTACCGGCGAGTATTTGGAAAAGCCAAGGATTTTGAATGGTATTTTTGTTAAAAATAAAAATAGTTACTAGACCATTGCTAACATATAATTTTTTTTTTTGGAATTTTAATACAAAATATTATTTCAGGGAGCTGATAAAGTATAGAGATGTAAGTATCCCATTGGCTACAACCGATTTAGACATTGTTTCAAAGGCCAATGAAGGTGATGGTATTAAAAACGAGTCTTTGGAATTGGAATTGGAATTGGAAGAAGACCAGTTAGCCCTTAAATTGAGCTTCACACTTCCAGCATCTTGCTATGCAACCATGGCAATTAGGGAGTTGCTAAAAACATCTACTTCTGTAAGTTTCTTTTTTTTTTTTTTTTTTTTTAAATTATAATTAAGGTTTACATGATGTGAATTGAGGAGATACTTATATGAACTTCCTGATTTTGCAGACTGCATTTCACAAGACTTTAAATTAATTAGTAGATTTTAATTACCGAGACCGAGTATTGAAGGAAAACAACACTTTTGGAAGCCTAGTCTAATTTATTATGCAATTTTGTACATTACTTTTGTTGTTTGTTTACAAATGTAGATTAATTGAGACTTAGGTGCATTATTTGTTTTAACTTAATGGATTTAATGAAGAATTACATATATAAAAAAATTAATGAAAATTAAAAATATAGAATTATAGCAAGCACTATGTGGCCAATTATGTTACCATCTGGAGTTTGCTATTTATGGCAACAATGGTGTTTGACTTTTAACGAACCAACTAATTTCAAATCAATACTTACATATGTAAAAGGTCTCCAAGATTGCCACGTGGCCTAATAAGAAAAACAAAACAAAACAAAACAAACTAAAAGGAATGTCAGAAATTAATGTGCAATTGCCATTTATGTTGAGAGTCAGGGTCAACCAACTTTCGAGATGCTTGCCACAATTGAGCTTCGATTCCCAATTTGCGAAGCTCAATAAGTCCACGCTCAACTTCAACAAGGAGGTAGTATTAATAATAAATCATTACTATTACTTGCATCTATTCACCAATAATATTAATATCCAACATATATATATGGGTATAAAAATAGGTACCTTCAACAGCATCATGTGAAGTGGGTGGATGATGACTTTGATTGATCCAAAACTGCAATCGCTCATCTACAATATCTACTTCCAACCCATGAATTTTTACTCTTCTCCAAAAATATATCAGCCAACCCTGTTTTTGGAGGATTATAATCTTATATTAAACTTATACAAATCTACTTTCAAGTTAAACTATTACCTGCTTAAACCGCACATCATCTGCCTCCTCTTTACTCAACTCTGAGAAAAAAAAAAACGTTTACATTTTCCATTTTCTATATTAGAATAAAGATTCATTTCAATAAAAAAAAAAAAAAAAGTTGCTAGGATATGGGAAAAACATTTACACCTGTCAAACCAGATTTTAGCATAGTCGGCCTCCGTTGGTGAGCCATTGCAAGTGCTACTGCGTCCTCTATCTGTTTGATAAAAAGAATAAAAACAGGTTTATCTTTTATTAAAAAAAGAAAAAGAAAATTAATATAATATAATAATAGTAAGTGTAACAAAAAGTCAAAAACCTTTAAAAGGCTCAATTCCCTTAGACCTCTTTCAACTAAAAGCATACTTTCCACACTTCCCTCTCCTGAAATTTCCCTTGCATCCTTTAGAACTTTCTCTCTTTCCTCTTCATCACTCTTTTCTGTTCATACTAAAAATGTTTAATGTTTCTTAAAGTTAAAACCAATATAGTAAACGTAAATTACTATATTACCCATCAGCTTTTCATCTTTTGCCATCTGTCCAGCAGCCACTACAACTTCAACAGGAAGAGGAGCAAATGATGACCAGTATTCGTATCTTGTTCCAGCAATTTCTGCATGAATACCTGTCACATATATATAACCAATTAAAAACTACAGGGACCAAAACTGTAAATTAATTCATTTCCTTATCAAAATTGTATAATACCATGTTGAACACATAAACTCCAATACCAAGAAAGCCAACATCTCTTTAAAACCAACTCTTCCTAAAAAAAAACACATAACATAGTGTGTATTCATTAACATAATTAAATAAACAAGTGAATTTATTTAATAATGGTTAGAAAAAAAAAAAAAAAAAAAGTAATAAATACCACTTCTTCTTGTGTGAGTAGCATTCTTTGAAACATTGTTTTAAGTGATTTAACTTCACTTTCAGTCTCATGAAGTTGTTCCATGATAGATGTTGCTTCATCCCTAGCAGTCTTATCAAGTAAAATATTAATTAGAATCCAATCAACACTCAAACTTTATGTTATGTTATGTTATGTTTTTATAGTGTAATAATAATCATGATTAAAAAAGTAAACGTACAAGATAGATTTCTGAATATGAATACCTCAGCTTCCACACGAAGAGCTTCCATAGCTCCCCCTCTAATACCAATATTTACTCCTCCATTTTCTTCTATTGCAGCTTTGAAAGCAGCCTGAAAGAAATTTATTTATCGGATCCCTTACATTTATTATTTATAATGTTGCAAATTCAAATATATATTGATAAAGTACAAACCTCCCTTTGTTGTAGAGATGCCTCCTTCCTAAAATGGCACAAGATAATGAGAAAGTGTTTAAAAAAAATTGAGTTGGGGAAATGTAAATGTAATGGAGCACTAGATTACTAAAATATTTGTTCTTGCCTGCTTAAAAGTTTGGCTTCTAAAGAAACACCTTCTCCAAGATGAGCCACCTATCAATAAATGATTGTTTTTTTTTTTTTTGAGTTTTAAATCGTATATTAAAAGAACCAAAATGTAAGCAAATAAAAGTTGTAACTTTTAATTACCTGTTTCTCAAGCTGTCTAGCCCTCATTTCTGCTTCTTCATATCTTTCCTCAGCAATTCGAAGCTGGAAAAAGAAAATTATAAATTATGATGTATATACAAACAAAACCATAAGTCCCTTTCTTGACTAAATTAACACCATGATTGTCCTTCTTGACGAAATTAACACCATCTGAATGACCAAAATTGCTAAAACAAAACCTAGGTCCCAAAATTGCACAAAGTCATGATATTCAGGGACCAGTTTTGTAAATTACTCTTCTTTAGCTTTACATACTTGTATATAATCGGGGATTAATGATCAAAGTTTATTGGGATTACCTTTTCAATCAAACTCTCATTTTCTTCCTGTAGCATGTCAATCTGCAATTAGAGTATAAACTGTTAATGGCGTCCGCAGGTGGGGTGGGAGGGAGGGAGTTGAGAGTTTACATCATCTTCCAGAGCAGAAGTAGAAGCAGTAGCAGAAGTCGGAGCGGAAGCAGTAGCAGTAGCTGAACGTTGGTTACTAGATTCCCTTGCGAAAACACCCAGATCCAAAGAAAACCTGCTCAAATTGAAAATATAGAAGATGATTTACACAAAAATCTAATCTGCTCAATTGAAGTGCTCCATTATCGGGAAATTTTCAAAATACCTTTTATTCTTTTGAGCATCAGGCTGCGTGTCTCGACCGGAGGTTGGCCTTAGTGACAAATTAACACTGGGAGGCACCATGGCGACTGGCTTCATTACTAAACTTGGACGACCGGCTGAGATAGCCCGAGCAGACGATGGTTGTTCCATGGGAAGGCAACGTTGTGGCGATCGATTAGCTCGAGCAGAATTAGGTTGAACATGTTCGACAGTAGTGATTGATGGAGCTGAGCGAAGGCTATTGGAAGTCTGGTCAGATGAAGAACGGGCTGATTGAGATTGAAATTGTTCGTTGTTTATTACTGGTTGAGATGATCGGCCGATACGTGGAGCTGAAGTTGTGTGAACTGTCTAATACAAGATAATTATACAATTGTTATGTCATATCAACAAAATTATAGCATCTAGATGACATGGAAATCATTTATTGCAGGTATACATACCATAGGCGAACGATGCCGGATTTGAGACCTTCCGGTGGCAGGTGCGGAGGAGGAGGAGGTGGTGGCGGGTGGACTAAAATCAGATAAGAGATCCTCGTCATCTTCGCTATCGTCCGTTTGCTGATGAGACATCATTTGAGCAAGCCTCTGTGCCGCCTCCTTGGTGTTCTGTGACCTCTTCACAATCGATCCTGAACGCGAATGCCGGTGAATCGTCGGAGATGCTGCACCACGAGACGAAGCCATCGGTGGCGACAATTGGTCGTCACTGCCACCACCAGGGGTTACGCTCTTCGAATCTATTCCACGATCCATTTCTGCATGATAGTAAAAATGCAAGGTGATGATACACAATTTGAGATGTTCATTCGAATTGATTTTGATAACTATTCAGTCATAATCATCCCATCAAAAACACAATTTCCGCATATCGCATTGCTGATTCTTCCATTGCAACGCGATAGATGGCGATTGGCGATTCACTCAAAAACTCATGAAATTGAATTGAATTGTTAAAACATCTTGTCATATCATCGCTACAAAATAGTTGATGAATTAAATTGTGAAGAGAGTAACTAACCCACCTGCGATTGATAAAAAAATGGGAGGCTTTGATGGAAACTCCGATCACATTCTAAGATGATTACAGTATGGGTCTTTCTCTAGAGAGAACAAACAAAAAGTTTAATGGAATTAATTAATATACATTATTATTATTATTATTATTATTATTATTATTATTATTATTATTATTATTATTATTATTATTATTATTATTATTATTACTGGGTCGTATTTTTCTTTCCATAATAGCAGTAATTTATAGCAATAACAATGTAATAAATAGAATATACAAAACTACGAAAATTGGTATGTGTCGTTAAAACTGTGGATATTGTTCAAAAAGTTTCAGACTTGCATTGAATATCAAAAATCAATTTTTTTTTATGGTTTTGGTTCCGGAAGAATTAAAAGAGTTGAAAGGACAATTTTGTCTTTTTTATTTTCTCATATTGATTAGTTAGCTTTTATAATTCAAAAATAAAATGTGGGCCATCTTACCCCACTATACCAGGTAGTACCCTCTCCTTCTATTATCGACTCTCTCACACTTCTTTCTTCTAACACACCTACAACAAGAACAATGTTGAGCAAAATCCAAGAAACGCAAACACCCATATTGGGTCTACTCTATGATCAAACAACATTAGGGATTTCAAGGTCCGATTTTAGAGGAGATGGATCTAAAAGCACATCCAACGGAACCCCCTTCTCGCAAACTGGTGGCGTCAATCATTTGGGCCAACTTCAGTGGTTGTGTCGCCTATTTATGCCTCCCAATTAATTTTGATGGTCACTTCTCTTCTCAATCTCAGTGAACATCTCTCTCCTAAAGGGTCATCGCAAATTGCACCTCTCAATTTGTTTTGATTCTCAAGAACCCGAGCTTCCAAATAAAACCCAGTTGCAAAATCAAGAATAGAATCAGGAAGAACTAAGGACATCAAATCCGGTTGTGTGTCTACAAATATGTGAAACCCATATTAGGAAGATGAAGATCTAGTGTGGAAATCATATTAGATGTTGCAGGGCATGTAATAACTATGTTTATGTTTATGTTTCTTGTATCAGTTATAACATCCCAAGTTTTTAATAATCAATGAAAAATATTTGTTCATAAATACGGGACAAATTCCACAGTTATAAATGAACTTTGTTAAATAAGCATAAATAAAAAGATATTTTCTTACCGTGAAAATAGGGTGATGTCACATAAAAGTGAAACAGATAGTTTGTCACATCTTCAGTTGACAATTCATTCATTGATAATATATGCTTTTCGCTTCTTGAAACTAGTTTGTGACCTTTATACATAATAAAATATTGAGAATAAGTTCACATAGGAAGTGTATCTATGTGTGTTTGAGATGTTTCATTTACAAGTGTATGTGCGTGTGTGTGAGAGAGGGTGCGAGTGGGGTACCATAAATTTTTTTATTTCTAAATAAAAAAGTACTAACATAATAAGAAAATGGAAAAAAGAATTAAAAGGGCAAATCAATCTTTTCAAGTTGTTCGGGGACGAAAACCATGGAAATTTATTGATTTTGGACCTTCCATGCAAGTCAAAAACTCTTTAGACTCTATCTACATGTAACGTCCCAAAAACCATAGATTTTTTTTTCTTTTTGAATTTAATTGGAATTTAAAAAGTCATTTCAATAAACGAAACATCACCAAATATTCATTTCACAACATGAATCCAAATCAGAGCATCACATTAAAACGTTTTCCCAAAAACATAGAGACAACTGGAGAGTGTGTATAGTCACACTTTTGTTTTTCCTCGATTCTCAGAAGTACCTGAAATATTTAAATCCATAACTGTAAACCAAAACTTAGTTAATTACTCAAAGCATCACATACAACGCAACACAGCTAACATATAAAATAGTTATGGGTTATCAACAACAGTATGTGTTATCAATGGCCCTGAATTACCAGCAACTCAAATACAACAAGTTGGGTTATCAGCAACCCCAAGCAATTAGCAACTCACATACAACAGATTAGGTTATTAGCAACCCCGAGCTATCAGCATCTCTCATACAACACATGATATAAGTAACATCGTGAGAAAACTCACCTCATAAACAAAGTAGAAAACCCCTACAAATCGAAAGACGTGAAGATAGCTACAACAACCACCTAAACATATAATCCAAGGTCAATTCTCAACCTATGACCTAAACCCTAAAGTTTGACTTAAAGTCAACCTTGGTCAAAAAGTCAACAATCAAAGTCATCCCTTCAGCCACCGCGTCGTGGCCAACCCCTGGCCACATCGTAATAGAAGACAGATCAGTATTGAGTCCTTCTCTCATCTCAATGTGGTCAACCCATGTCCACGTCCTAGTTCACCTAGAAAACTCAGCCCTTTATTAAATCCTTAATCCGTTAAGACCAAATCTCAAATTTTCTAGAAGGCTTAAGCACACGAAAATCACGGCAAGACTCATTGAGGGTCACGCCATGATTTTGGAGTGTTCCAACTATTTTGTCGTTTATTTGATCACGATGCAACTGGTCAAGGGTCACGACGTGCAGGCTGTTGATTGTTATAAACTTAGAGGGTCGAACTTAGAGGTTTTGAGTTATAAACCAGGGTTTAGCCTGTGTTCGGTTTAGGCAGTTCGTGTAGCTAAGTCTTTGGGACCTCGGATAGTCAGATTCAGCTCTTGGATTCATGTGATTTTTCACATAGTTGCTATGGCATGTTGTATGCTGAGTTAGACTAGTAGGGTCTTTCTTGATGCTTGTATGTTTGCATGTTTCGTTTGGCTTAGAAAGGTTGTTGGCTAAAATGGGTCGTAGCCTCGTAGGTTGAAACTAGTCTTAATTGTTATGTATGATGTTATGTGTTGTGTGTCATACTTTGAGGAACTCACTAAACTTTATGGCATATAATTGTGGATTAAATGTTTTTCAAGTACATATCGGATCATGAGAAGGCAAAGACATGACAGTACACACACATCAGGAATTTTATGATTTTGAGATTTCGCGATGCTATTCTTTATAATTCTGATTATGGATTTTGGTTTATTGAACAAATGGTTTTATCTTGATTATTATTCTTTGGAAATGGGTGTTTATTATTTTAAAAATGAAAATTTTGGTTTGAAAAATAAGACATTTCGGTTTTGAATGTTTAAAGAGCACATATACATGCATAAACCCACCAATAGTCATTACTACTGGATCTAATCATAACAATCAAACTAACTATTCATAGTAAGGTTTGCAAGCTCTTGCAAATTGGCCTGATTTCAAGTGATCTACAAGGGATTGCAAACTGATTTGCAAAGGCCTTGCAAGTATGCACCTTTTGACACAACTTTTCTTTGCTCAATTATGATCTTGTTGCAAGGCCATGGAAATCCTTTTACGAGGGCCTTCATAGTAAAACGAAAATAAAACACAAAAAAGTTTCTAAAACTTGTAAGATTTTGTATGAGCCATTTCAAATTCATTTCTAATCACTTATGCTTATTAACTACCATTCAATACTTGTTTTAAACCTCAACCACTAAATGACCTAATGTTTTCATGAGTTCAAGAGTGTACTCACAAAGACATCAATCATCCACTTTAAGACTTACGTGTTCAATAACTTTAGGATTATCTCTAGTTTGCTTTCTTATAGCTTAATGTCCATCCATGATCCCTCTAACAGATTTAAACATGTAATTTATTCAAATTCCAACCATCATTTCATGATTCCTATCTCTATCGTGAAAATGAGATATAGATCTACCTATGGTGATCATGATCCCAATTATACATGTAATTTATTCAAATTCCAACCATCATTTCATGATTCCAAACTCTATCAAGAAAATGAGATATAGATCCACCTATGGCGATCATGAGCCCAATTATTTGTTTACCTTTCCAATCTTCCAAACTCTTGGAGTTTTACTTCCATGACTCATTATTTGATTTAATTATAACACATTTGTGATATAGCTTAACTTAAAATTTATTTCATTCCATTTCAATAGTGGATTCCACTGGAATTATCACTAAAGTTCATAATCCCATAAGATCCAATGGAATCATATAACAAGGACAACATAAACACAATAATTACTCTTTCTTAAACTTAGGATTATAGAATCAGTTTCAAAGTCATAAAACTAAGCTTATGTACAAGTTCTAATGACTGGAGTACAACATGTCACCAATTCCATCACTAAACATGGAATCGACCATTTTAGAAAAAACGGTGATACATTGATCATCTATAATATGTCTAGCATTAAAACATACACAAAACATAGAATGTTTTGATCCATCTTTCTTTTGTGCATTTTGTTGAACTATAAACAAAATACAATAAATCTTTACATAAAGACTTATGAATTGGAGATGCTAGTAGAATCTTATAAAATAAGATTTTGTCATGTTTGGTGAAATTATCTCAAAAAGTTTCGCCAAGTCTAAATGTCATTTCATTTGAAATCGATATAAATTTAATTTCTTTCGTGAATTTCTTTTAAAAAATTTCCATCCACTCCTCATATATTTATCATTACTACAAACACAAACTATCATGTCTCCGAGGCAACGTTTACATCTATTTCCGCTCTTTTGCTTAATTTATAACTATCAAATTGAAAAAATTATTTAATTTACATATATGTTCATTACATCGTTTAAGTCATTAACTTCGTATCTCGTATATAGGCAACGTTTTAATTTAAGAATCAATTATGTTTCCACATCATCCAAAGACACAATCAACAAGACAAAGTTTATATTTCTCAAGAAATAACAAAAAACATTCAAACCGATATTATGTATATGTTACATTCCCATTGAAAAAAGGTTAGTAATCAGTGCCTTTCGAGATGACCTCCTTACACGTGGGACGTAGTAAAATTGTGTGCTCAAACTGTGACACGTAACTACCCTTATTGTCACACAATGGTGGGTAAGGCTGCATATATCCATTCAAAAATTATTTTAAAAAAAATAAATAAAGCCAAATATATAACGTTGAAAATTGAAAAAAAAAAAAAATTACTATTTGATATACCTGAATAACACCAGCATCACACAAGTTCTTGAGAGCCATTAGATATTTAGTCTCTCCTAATCGATCTAAATATCTCCTACAAAAAGCTAATGTTGAGAAGTTCTTATCAATTGTTGCGAGAAGCTGTTTTGCTCTTGGCAAACGTAATGGAACATGTCCAACATCAAAGTTTTTCATGTAATGGCTGCACTCCAAATCTTCTCTCACGTAACCCTTACCTAATAAACACAAATATATTTTTACTCTTATTATCATTTATTGAATTTAAAAAAAAAAAAAAAAAAAAAAAGGTTTTAGTTTTACCAGTGGATCCAAAAGTTTCAATCGCATAAAATTCCCCTTCTTCCATTTTTGTCTGCTCTCCGCCTTTCACAATTGGAACGGATTTTCCCGCGTGAATTTGGTAAGGCCCAATGCTGTGACCATTCAAATTCCGGATGCTTTTCACTGCATAACAAACAACAAAAAGGGACTTATATAGACTTCGTAAAGAAAGATATAATAAGGGCATTTTTGTCTTTTAAAGTTGATTATTATACCTTGGAAGACTTTTCCATTAATCTCTACCTCGTAAGATTCCATCACCTCTTGGATTGCGGCACCTATATCACATAGACGGACATCGATCCCTGCTTCCTGTATTTACACAAACTCAAACTTTGTAAAATACCTAAAATGCCCCTCCATCACGTTTTAACTTCGAAAATAAATTTCGTTTGCTTTGCTGACCTTGATACCAGTATATGTGGCTTCACGAGAGGCTTCAAGTAAAGGATCGAACATTGGATTGAATGCAACTGTGAATGCACAGTCGACTATGTGTCCTGAAATGTTTTACAAAAGAATATAATAAAAGTTTTTAAAAAAAATAAAGTGGATATTCTGATTTCTAATTCTGACCATTAATATGAGTTCCAAAATCCAATTTCATGACATCATCATACTGAAGAACAGTTTTATCTCCAGAGTTTGGGGTCCAGTGGGCTGCAACCCTGATATGGTAAAATATGTTTACTATTGGAAAGTAATAAATAAATAAAAGAAAATAAAAAGAAAATGATAAAATTATTTGAAATTTACCAGTTCAATGAGCACCCTGTAGGAAAAGCAATACCAGCTTGTAGACCATTTTCTTGTATTAACTTACGAACAGTATTCTCCAAGGTTTCACAGAGATCAACCATTAACATTCCAGGTTTTATAATGCTCCTAACATATTTCCTAACCTGTAAACAGATTAAAAAATTGCCATATATTATTAAATATTCCATACTCTCAAAGTCAGAATATAATTCAAATAGCAAATATAAAACCTGTCGATGAACTTCTGCTGCTTGTCGAATTGAGTCATACATGGGCTTTTCTAATCTCTCCAAATCCCTCTTCTCCTCAGATGTAGTCCTCCATAAGTTGCTGAGTAAGCAACAAAGTCAATGTCTACATACATACATACATACATACATACATATGTACATAATGGGGACTTACTCATCTTTATATTGCTGTATTTCACCCTCTGGAAAGTTTCCCTGAGGGAAAAGTTCTGCAATTGGAATAGTAGGAGGATCGGTTTGCTCCTTTGTTTCTTTCTTCTTCCTGAGGTAACAGATTATAATAATTAAGAATACTGAAGAATTTGATGGCATTGTAATAAAACTTGGTTCATATATAGCCATATAGGTATTATTAATTTATTATGATAAATCTTACTTGCTTTTGTTCTTCTTCTTCTTCTTTTTTGCAGCTTCTTGTACACCAGTTTCTGAGTTATGCGAGTTCAGTGAGCAGGAAGACACGAGACATGTTATGAAAAATGAAAGTGAAATCGATGTTCATTACTATTCTATAATCCAAAATTTGTTCAAATCACACAATATTATTCTGTTATATAACACATTAGTGATGTTTTCAGATCAAACCAATTCAATCATGTCAATTTCAATTCGATAAGCAATCCTTTCTCGTCTAAATTGAGGTAGACTCCAGTTTTCATAGAAGCATCAATTTGGTGATGGAGAAATACTAGGCATCAAAAACTCTAAACATGTCATCTACGTGACAAACAACAATATAGAAATGAAATTTAATTACCTGAAGAATCCGCTAACGTCAATTCATCAACGTGTTCGCTCACTTCTTGGACTGTGACAGGTACATCGGTAACTATCCCATTGGAGGTTCCTTCTCCACCAATTGCATCTTCTTTTGCCATCTCTACGATACCGCGTATCAAACATACAAATCATATACAGGATTTAGAAGAATTACAAATTAAATAAATATTAATAAACAAAAGAAATGAATAGCTTCAATAGATATAAAAAAGGATAGAAGACGACATACTAAGAAAACGGAGCTCCGCCGTATCGCGATCTTCAGAGCAGAACCAGTGGAGAGTTAGGGTTTGTAGATTATATTTTTGCGACAAGACGACGGTGTTGACAAGCTTTTATTGCCACAGTTAAGCAACACGTTTAGTTTTGGCAGTACAAGTCCTTCATCTTACAACTATTTCAACCTATCCCCATATAGAAAATGGTTTGGTCATTCGATAGTTTTTGGGATATTAATATATAAGCCCTTAAGTTTGGTAAGTATTAACGTTTTTACCCTAAGTCCAGCTTTATGTGCATTAATGCTTAATATTTAAGATAGTTTTGTTATAAATGGCTTTTATCAGTTTTACCCTACATAGTCGGTCCATTTTGAGGATTTGACATGTATGAAGCCTTCATGGTATAATTAAGTTAGGTAGTATGCATGTACTGTTTTGTGTTAATATCCTTTTATATATACTTGCAACTTCAAAAAAATAATAATAAAAAAATAATAATAAGAGATTCATTTCTCTTTAATCAATCAACAAGTGTTGTGAGAAAGAAAATTTGATGAACAGTCTCTCACACTTTTTATCCCCTATGGGTTCCCGCCACTAAATTCAGGTTAACAGATGTGAATATGATGGTGATTGTGTCGAGAATGTGATGATGTGATGTGAAATTGTGATTAGGTGGTGTATGGTGGCTGATGTAGAGATAGTGTTGGGTTGTAGATAGTAACAATGATAGTGTTTCCTAGTGAAGAATGTGGGATAGATATGGGGTTTACGAGCTGTGGTGCCTATATAAAGAATAATAGAATATATATATATATATATATATATATATATATATATATATATAATTTATCCCCCACAACTCGATTGCATCATTTGAGTTTTAAATTAAATCATGTAAAAAATTCTTCTTGATAATATATATATATATATATATATATATATATATATATATATATATATATATTATATATATATATATATATATATGGTAATCTCTTCCAAGTTAGATAAAACTTCAAATCCATTCTTTTTATCTGTATTAGATCGAATGTAATACGGTGGCTAGCAAATAAAACTAGCCTCAATTAAGACTCTAATTGCCTTCAATAACCAGAATAGATTTCATGTCCCCGACGAATTCGCTCAAGCTGAGTGTCTTTTCAAGTAAATCAACTTAATCTTGGAATTACAATCGGAACCCCTTCTCCTTACAATTTCAATGAAACCATCATACTTTTGACACTCCAACCATGGGAATCATCTACATCATTGATTTTGTTATCTACTTATCGGTGGCATGTCTATCAGTCTCAAGTTTTAATATAAGGTGTATCACAACTAGTATTTTTAGTTAGGAAATTATGTTTTCATGTAACCATCAACTCTTGTAAGACTTGTAATCTAAGTAGATATCATATTCTATGTTTGATCAAAAACATCCAATTGAATCAAAACTCATGAGTGAAGTCCAAACCTAATTTAATACATCTCATAGACTCAACTATGGGTTTTAAACCTTAATAACCTGGTTTAAATCAGAATGGACCAGGATCCTCAGGTTGGGCCTAATGGGCCAGTAAGCTCTTAATTTGACTATTTTGGGTTGATGAACCTTATTTGGACCATAAATAGGCCCATATACATTAAATAATAGCATTTTGGGTCATAAGACTTCTCATGGACCTTATTGGGCCTAAAATATCCCACCATATCATCATGGGTCTTAGTGGGCCGTAAGTGACAAAATAACCAAAAATGGGGTATTTTATGTAATTCATGGTTTTAGGGGTTCAAAAAGGATTATTTTTGCTAAATGTGGATATTTATGGCATTTGGGACCCTATAAGGATTAAAAATGCAAAAACAATCACAATTAGGCTTTATTTAGGCTTCTCACGCCCTTGGGCCAAAATTGTAAATTTTGGGCTTTTGTGTCATTTTCAACATAGTTGTGCCAAAAATGTAAATTTTTGCTAAGAAAAACTAAAAATGTGAATTTGTTAGCACTTGATCCAAAAAGATAAAATTATTTACAAATGGGACAAAAATGTGCATTTTCATAAAAATCAAGCCAAAAATGATATTTTTGACAAAAGGGAATTAAAAATATTATTTTTACTAAAACTAGCCTCAAATGCAAGTTTTGTTCTTAAAAAGGGCCTAAAATGTTATTTTTACCAAAAATATATCCAAATTGTAAATTTTCGGTTTTAAGACCAAAAATGTCTTTTTTTTTATACAAAAAGTGGGTTTTTCATGTCAATTTGGTAACCAACGAAGCTTATACAACCAACATAACAAACAACGGATAAATTACGTCATTATTACCTTTATTTGGCATGAAATTAATTTACATGTTTAGTGGACATTAGTAGTCCATATACATGTTTATTGGGCCTGAGATAGGAGTAAAAAAAAAGGCAGGTCAGAAAAGTAAAACCAACAGATAGTGTAACCTAAAAGATTCAGAGGTTTAAGGAAAAAAAGAAACATAATGAACAACTCAGTCAAGCTATAGACAAATTTGGTTTTGTGGGATTTTTGTTATAAATCAAGAACCATAAGTATGGATTTGATTTGGGTCTCCTTTTAATTGGGCATTTGGGTGTAGGTGTTGTGTGGTTATCGGATCTCAACCGAGGAAAAAGAAGAAGTAGGTGGGGGTTTGACTTTTTGAGAAAGATATATATAGAGAGAGGGGTGGGACCTTTATATATGCTAAATAAGGCACAACTTCATAAATGGCTCTGTGGTGGTAAAATGACGAAAACACCCTTTAGTTAAAGGACACAATTTAACGGAGTGATGCTTAAGGACCAAACATCAAAAGTTTTGATAGCACAGGGACCATCTATGATATTTTTAAACCACGAGGACTAAACTTCAGATTTTGAAAAAACACAGGGACCATTTATAATGTTTTTTCCTTGAATGAGTAGCACTAAAAGTTGTAGTCTTATAATTTTACATGTTTATGTTTATCAGTTTATGTTATATAATTATAAAAATATTTTTATGAATATACCATTAAATAATTTTGTAAAACTTTAAATAGGGAGCATAACAACAATGTGTAATAATTTATTCATAGATTAACGACAATGCATAATATAATTTTATATTATGTGGGCATAATAACGGAAATGCATAATATAGTTTTATATCATATGAACATAGTAACGACAATTCGTAATATAATTTTATATTATGTGGGCATCATAACGACGGTGTTTACTAAATTTTATATATGTAAACTACTGTTTTGATGGTAAATTGTTATAACGATTATGTAACTAAATTATAAGCAATATAAACAATTTATGATTTATATAAATAAATAATATAAAAATTTGTATCCTTCCCCGAAAAATGATAAAAAATTTAAAATGGGACCATGAAACTTACCATGTAGCGTGGTTTATGTAATAATAGATGTTGATAGAAAGATGGCCAAGACTAGAAAGGGTTGAACTTCAAGGTGGGAATGTTTTGTAAGAAAATCAACTGTACTTTGTATCATGAAAACGTAAAGAAACTGCTTATATTTATACTACCACTAGTTTATAACCCGTGGAACCACTGCTATAAAATTAATTAAATTTTTATAGTAAAAATCCAAAATTATTAATCAGTTATTTTAAATAAATTATTAATTTAAGAGATATTTTTTTAGTTATGCGAAATTATAATCGTTGATTCAAATAAATACATAAAAATAATTTTTAATATATATTAGACATTTTTTTTTTTTTAAAAAGGTGCCATGTTTCTTTTATTTCTTTCAACCAAAAAAGGCAATATTCATAACACACAAATACCGTAGTTATTGTTTTTTTTTTTAATATAAATTTATTGGGTTTTTGTTTGTTAGTTTTTGCTATAAATGTTTATCAATTTTTTTACAATTTGGTCAACAGTTCGTGATGCATCTTTTGGCACCAAAATATACAATAACTTAGAAAACAATTAATATTTCCCTGCAATCATATTAAATACATAGTTATAATTGGAAAAAGAATGTTGATCTACATCCTAACAGGAGCACCACACATCCAAAAGAAGCAAAATTATAGATGAAAGAAGCAGAGCAAACACCAAAATGAGCAGCAACTAATAATCAAAAGTTGCAGCCAACCAAAGGTAGAAACAAGGGCAAAAAAGTCCAACAAACTGGAAGAAGGCTTGAAAACATAATACAGAAAACAAAAATGACCATTACATACTTGATACAATGTTTACTTTCACATTTTTTTTTTTTTTTGCTAATTAAAGGCTTTGTATACATTTACTTATTTACTAAATTACATAAGAATTCTTTATGATTGTTGCTCAAAATAAGGTCACGGTGACCATGAATACCATATAAGCATCAGGAAACAACCATAAATGCTGACCCAATAGTGTAAATCAAATAACCAATAACTTTCTTTAACACAACCTTTGTTACCTGGCTAGACGTTTGTTAATGACAGTTAACAAAAGTAATCACTAATATAAAGGAATATGTTTCCTTGCACCAGCAAAACAAGAGGTAGAGCCAAGGGCAAAAACGTCTATGAAACTATGAGATGGCTTGCAATACGTAAAGCAAGAACAACACCACTCAATGAACCAAAACGGTCGACCATTAAGGTGGAGACATTCCTCCACGGGACCAATTGCAAACATTTGTGAATCGTGATGATGATTGATATGCTCGCAAGTCCTAATCTTCTTAGAGAAAGTCTTCCGTGATCTTGAGTGACAACAGCCATCCCAAACATCAATTTGGTATTAGAGAGAAATTACAATGCTGATATAGAGCTATGTACATATAAACTAATACAAATTTCATGTTTTCTTAAATTTAATCGACACCTCTGCTGTATTCAAAGCAATAAAAAATCAATCCCAATTTTATTCGATTCTCAGAAATCAGTAAACATAATTCAAAAATTAGAATTCTCAGAAATCTAACAAAAGCAATCTAACCTAAGAAAACTTCTACATCAAAATTCGAAATCAGGATCATCTTCTTGATATAACCAACACCTATTCCATTCAAAACTCAAAGATGGTGTTCAAATTCGAACATGATGTGAGGTTCAATTTTGAACGAGAGATGGAATCGCATGCTGGGAATTGACGGAGGTGGAGTCTGGTATGACCAAAAGTTGAATGGTGACCGGTTGGAGCTGTGGCCGGCGATGGAGGTGCAACCGAAGAGACGAATGAGAGATGGCGTCGTGTGTAGTTGGTAATTTCTTCCCGGTTGTAGCTTCTGTGGTTTAGGGCAGGGTTATTTTTTTATTAAATGGAAAAATCACCTTGTTTGGTAAATAGTTTGAAAAGTATACCCATTGGCTAAATAAGTTTTTCAAAAACATTTTTTTAATCAAAAACTCAAAATTGAGTGGGTATTGCATAATATGCAATCTACCCACCATAATTTCCATAGACTTGTACGTTATATACACACACAAAATATATGTCCTATTAATGTGTATATAAAGTGACAACGTATTCTTTTTATTTTATTTTATTTTTATAATATTTATCAAACTAAATATTATATACAAATATAATAATTAATTAATCTCATTAGAGATTTGCATATACGTACCATTTTGCTCGGCCGCCATGTATCAACTATTATCTTTAGTGTGCATGCATTATCTTATATTTATTTATTATTAGTCTATGATTATGAGGCTTAACTCCATGAGTAAGAATATGAAGGATATTATTATTATTGCTACAATTTATTTATAGACATACACACGTTTTATTTAATCATTCATATATATTTCCTTTACGTATTGTTTCACTTTTATATATATATATATATATATATATATATATATATATATATATATATATATATATATATATATATATATATATATATATTTCCATGATAACTTCATAAAAATATGTTAACAGATTTAAAATCATTTATAATATTTGAAAAAAGAAAATATTACAAATATAGAATGGATATCATATTTTTATTATTTTATTTTATTACAAATTAAGCCCATTACATCTAGTGTTCATCACGTTTACAGGTGATGATCGTTGACTTAATTTAACAGTTGTCACACACTGACCCTTCAACTATAGATTCATGTACAAGGTACCATGTCAATATTTAAGATTTTCAAATTTACTTTGCTAAAATGACAACATCATTTCAATATACCTGTGTAGTCTTGGTTATCTTTGGTCTTTTCACATTGAGCTTAACTGACTTATTTGTTGTGGGGCAAGTCACCTTGTTGTGGCCAAGCATATGACAAGCATTGCACACAATGTGTTTACCTTTCTTTGGTACCTTATGCTTCCCCATTTTATCTGTCACATCTCTCTTCCTTTTTGTTGCAGGTCTTCCAGACATCCTTCTTCTTTGGGGAGGTAAGTGTGGGATAAATGATATCTCTTGCCACATGTTACTACCATTCATAGGCAATATATTATTCAAGTATGCTTTATTGTAGTTTGATCTGCAGAAAATAAGATCCACATAGGTGTCCACATCCCTATTCAGAAATAAGATTGTAGCAACTTAATAGGCACACCTATATCCATTTAGTTGCCATAACCTACAAGAACAAGTCTTGTTTTCAAGATCCACTTCATAAGCTTGACCTTCATTTCTTGTCTCTAACTTGTTTAGTCCACTTGGGAGCACTTGCCAGTACATAGATTTAATCTTTAAACCATTTAGTAACTGCCTTATTGCAGGACTTACATCCTTTGTCCATTTCTTGTGTTTCAAGTTAAACATCCTCTCCATGATATATAACCTCAACTCCTCCAACATAATGATTATTAGTTTCCTTCTGGCCTCAACAATTACTGCATTGAAGCTCTCAGAAATACCATTCTTCACTACAACACATGCCCTCCCTACCTTATAAAATGCTATTGACCAGGTCTTTGGTTCCTCCTTCATCAAGTACTTATGCGCTTCCAAACTTAATCTTTCATTTTTTTGCATGAATTCATTGAAAGATTGTGGTGTTGTTGCATTGCAAGGCTTCCAAAAAAAGGTTCTTAAAAATAGCCCCTGCAAACCTCTTCTTAAAATTTACAACAATATGCCTTGCACATTGTCGATGCTCAACACAAGGAAGCACATCCTTAACTGCCTCCATAAGACCCTTGTGTTGGTCAGACATTAAGGTAAACCCGATGCCCATACCTAGTTCAAGATCATCTATGAGCAACTCCATAACCCACATCCAATTTTCCTTATTCTCAACACACATTATTGCCCATGCAACTGGAAATATGTGGTTGTTAGCATCTCTACCCACAACACAAAATAATTCCCTATTGCATACACCCTTAAAGAAACATCCATCTATACCTAACACCTTTCTACAACCTTCTAACCAACCAGATTTGACATTAGCAAAACATACATAGAACTTACTGAAGTAAGTCAAACCATTAGGCATGGATTGGACATCCATTTTGACTGTTGAACCTGGATTACTTCTTCTAAGTCCCTCCCCATATGACCATAATTTTGCATAATGCTCAATAAGATTCCCCTCAATAAGATTCATGGCATGTGTCTCTGCTCTTCTACATTGATTTAAACTAACATGTATTCAAAACTTCTTGATGACCTCCAATCTCAATTGTCTAATTGTTAACTTTTGTCTATGCAAAATTTCCTTTGTATAATTCTCTCCTATCCAAGAGTATGTGACAATTGATCCTAGTTTATAGTTTCTAGCACAATTATGCTCCATCTTCAATGACTTTATTTGAAATAACACCTCCTGCCTCATCCATGTAGCCCATAACCTGAATGGGCAAGCTCCTTTGCAACACACCACCAACAACCTTTTACTGTCATTCTTCTTGAAGAATAGTTGGTATCCATTTTCCACAATATAGTTACATAACATATTTTTCAGCTGCTTTGGACTTTCAAATTTCATCCCAAGAACAGGTACTTGCCTCTTCCATTACATATCAGGGTTGAAAATGGAATGGATCTCAACATCTTCTTCTTCAACTTCATTGTCACCAGTATCACCTTCTGGAGGACATAACATACTAAGAAACTCATCCCCAGTTGTCTTGTTTAAAGGTATTTTGTCAATGTTAATTACTTCATCTTCAATACCTACATTGGGATGGGTTTCATCATTAGGGGCAGTGTTTTCTTCTTTTCTAGGTACACCATCATCTTCAAGTCCACTTTCATTATCTTCGCTAACAACCAGATTCATGTCATCATCCCACCATTCATCCGATCCATTCACATTATGATCAACATAAACTGAAATTTCCTCGTATTCATACCCGCTATCTATAAACTGGGCAAAATCCAAATCATCTACAATGGGACGAATCCCTCTATATAAAGGGATGTTAGGTAAGCAGAAGTAAACATTTTGAAACTCTTCCTCGATAACTCTATGAATAAAATAAAAAAAGTTCCTTACATCTATACATACTCAATCAACATCAGTGAAGAGGAAGTTATTCCCACCAACATACTCAGAAAGATGTCGAACAAATACACCATTGTAGTGTAGATAAACTCTCAGATATACAACTTCGTTATCGTTCTCAGCCATGCAACAGTGAAACAATCTTTAAAGAGTATAATACCTTCGACAACAATAATGTAATCTTAATAGTGGCTATGATGGTTAAAAACCCTAGTTCAAATCTCCATTCCTCTTCTTATAAGATGACTAAGGAAAATCAATTAAGATTATTTACAAGTTTTTCCACTCTGGAATAACACAGTTGGCACAATAAATAATTGACCACCTAACTCAACGGCTACATCACCTTTTTTACCGACTAAATAAATTAAGAAATCAATAAGGGTATGAGAGAGGTAATTTTCGAGTTTGAGGGTCCATAAAAAACGAAGAAAACAATATTGGTCTTTTAAAACCTAATGTAAAAGTTAGATGGGTCTCTATGATAAAAACCCTATTTATATTAATGCTTAGTAATATTTACTTTATATTCCTATTCACCTTAAATTTTTAGGTACAAATTAAGGAAGAGGATTCTCGGCGCACCAACATAAAGTCAAACGTACGCATTGCAAAATATGTAATTACAATTAAAAATAATATTTACTAATCGACTTATTTTAAAACTCTTGATGACATTTATGTATAATGATGTATTCTGTATGACTTTCATTCTTAATTTCAATGTTTAATATTTGAAAGTTCATATATGAAACCTTGGATGTTTTAGTGTAATATAAATAGTGTCATACAAAGTTTATTAGTTTAATATTGTTTATTAATAGCTCATTCAAAACAACTTATTTTTTATTTTATCCAAAAATATTATCGGACATAAGAAAAGTAGATTATATTAATGTTATACAAAAACTTATAATATATATTGGATATTATAAAAGTAAAAGTAAAGTTTATAAGGTATGGACTATATTAGATACTATCAAAATATAAGTTGATGAATTTTTATGTTATTTGATAATTCAGTTAATGCCTAAAACATGACTAAAAACGTAAATTTCAATATGTTTCTATTTTTTTCCATAATTATTTTAACCACTTAAATGTATTTTTGCGCAACACGCGAGGTTACACCTAGTCATATCATATTATATTATAAAGGAAACATTTTTCCTTTCACCACATTCATTTAAAATTCCCATGACTTTTGAATTTGTTTCTAATAATAATTATAAGTTGGTTAATAAGGTTAAATAAATATCAAACCTAAAGTGTAATCATATATAAACTAAATTTCAATATTAAAATAATATATTTACTTCTACTTACAAAGTTATATTTTTTAACTTTAAACATATTATACTTAATTTATTAGTTTTAATATATTGTTGGATGTAAATCATTATCATTTTAAATATATGATTTTGGAACAATTTGTATAAAATACTTAAATTATTAATTTCAATATAACATTACATTGTCAACTTAAATATAATTTTTAGTTTAACTTAAACAACCGCAAGAATAGTTTGTAAATAGTTAAAAGTGATTAATTATAGTGTCTTTCTAATAATGATTATAAGTTGGTTAATAAGATTAGACAAATATCAAACCTAAAGTGTAATCATAAATATACTAAACTAGTTTATAACCCGTGGGAACCAAGGTTATAAAATTAATTAAACTTTTAATTAGTTATTTTAAATAAATTATTAATTTAAGAGATATTTTTATTAGTTATGTCAAATTGTAATCGTTGATTCCAACAAATATGTAAAATTAATGTTTAATATATATTAGATATTTTTATTTGTGAATTAATGAAAACAATAATATAAAATTTAAAATAGATAATAAATACATTTACAAATAGCATCACATTAATAAGGAGGTCTAATAAATTTAAAATGGAGAACTAATAGATTGATAAGTGGCAACACATTAATTAAGAGGTTTAATATGGTGACACATGATAAAAGAACTACTCTTTTATTAGTATAGGGAGATTTCAATTATAAAATAATATCTTTACTTCTACTTATAAAGTTATGACTTTAAATTTTATCATATTATACTTAATTTATTAGATTTAATATGTTCTTCTATATAAACCATTATCAGTTTAAAGCTACAACTTTTGAACAGTTTGGATAAAATCAAGGTTGTAAAAATCGTCCGGCGTTAGCTAATCGGTGGACTGGGGTTAAGGGATTAATCGGCTAAGCGGAGATTAATCAGGTGATTAATCGGGGACCATTAATTGCTAATTTGTTAGATTTTAAAAAATTAAACAGGACTAATATCATATAAAATTTCATAAATACCACTAATATCATAACAAAATAGGTTACTATGATAAATACAACACTAATCATACCTTAAATAGTTTCTATTGAGATATAACTTCTTCAAAGTGCTAAAATTTCATCGGGTTTTACTGTTTCAGTTATTTTGTATGCATGGATTAATCGCTAGGCACCCTCTAATCGGTCGAGTAGCGCCTAGGGATTAATTGGAGATTAATCAGGACCTAATCGGGATTTTTACAACATTGGATAAAATACTTAAATTGTTAATTTAAATGTAACATTACAATGTCAACTTAAATATAAATTTAAGTTCCACTTAAAAAACCAAAGAATATTTTGTAAATATTTAAAAGTGATAAATGCAAAAACTAAATTGTAATCTCAATTTAACTAAAATATTTCCTAAAGATATATTTTTATAATCATTAGAAGTTTTCAAATAAGTAGCTTAAAATAACTTACAATAACAATAGTTAAAAATAACTCTATATAAATGAGTATATTGTTACCTATAAAATCAAAAAATAATTTTTGATGTTTTAAATAATTATAATGATATAAATTAAAACATTAAGCGAATAAATTTTAAAAAATTAATTAACAATAACAACTATAAATAACATTAAACCATATATTATATTTAATTTTATTCATGTGTAACTCGCGGGTAAAAGTCATTCAAACGATTGAGATTATTCAGTTATAATAGATGTATATATTATCATATAAATTAAAATAATCAATATATTATATCAATTTAGTATACGAACTATTATATCAAATTTAACAACAACGTATTTCTATATTTAAAAAAAAAAAATTATTTGTAAAGATTTCAACTATATAGGTGTTTCTACACAACACGCCAAGATACTTATAAAAGAGACAATTTTTCTTCAACCACATTCATTTGAAACCCCCAACTTTTGAACTTCTTTAATTAATACATTAAATCCAATATTATTGAAATTTCAATATTAATTCTTTATTCTCAATATAATATACTTAGTTTGTTAATCTAAATATGATATTAAATTTAAAACATAATTTTTATAATATATTCAAAGCCTATTTTTTTTAAACAGTTAAAAAGTTTAAATGAAAAATTTAAATCAAAATGTCAAATTAATTAAAAAAAAAAAGTTAGTTAAAAATTACTTTTTATAATAGTTACATTTTCGTCAAAATAGATAGTCTAAAATAAATTTAAAATATTAAAAGTTTAAATAAAATAATATAAAACATGTATCAAAAGTAGTTTTAAAATTCATTAAAAATAAAAGATGTCTATTCTAAATTTAGTTTATTTTTATTTTCACGAGTAGCGACTATAATGCGATTTTAAATTAAATAATATGAGATCTATTGTTTAATACTTATAAATTCGCTACAAAAGTAATTTCGTACACTTATTTTTGATAATGTTTATCATTTATTTAGAATACATAGAGTATTTTATAATAAATTAGTTTAAGAATTATTAATTCAAACTTACTAACAAGTATATATATATATATATATATATATATATATATATATATATATATATATATATATATATATATATATATATATATAGGAACAATTTGTACAAAATACTTAAATTATTAATTTAAATATAACATTACAAAGTCAACTTGAATATTAATTTTAGTTTAACGTAAACAACTCAAGGAATATTTTGTAAATAGTTAAAAGTGATAAATAGTAGTGTATTTCTAATAATGATTATAAGTTGGTTAATAAGGTTAAATAAATATCAAACATAAAGTGTAATAATAAATAAACTAAATTTCAATTTTAAAATAATATTTTTACTTCTACTTATAATGTTATGTCTTTAACTTTCAACATATTATACTTAATTTATTAGATTTAATATGTTGTTATATGTAAGCTATTATTAGTTTAAAGCTACAAATTTTGAACAGTTTAGACAAAATACTGAAATTGTTAACTTAAATATAACATTATAATATCAACTTAAATATAAATTTCAGTTCCACTTAAAAAACAAATAATATTTTGTAAATAGTTAAAAGTGATAAGTTGTAGTGATAAATGCAAAAACTAATTTGTAATCTCAATTTAACTAAAATATTTTCTAAATATATTTTTATAATCGTTAAAAGTTTTCAAATAAGTAGCTTAAAACAACTTTCAATAATAATAGTTAAAAATAATTCTATATAAATGATTCTATTGTTACCTTTAAAATCAAAAAATAATGTTTAATGTTTTAAATAATTATAATGATAGAAATTAAAACATTAAACATATGTATTTTAAACAATTAGTTAACAATAACAACAACTACAAATAACATTCAACCATAATGTTTGATGTTTTAAATAATTATTCATGTGTAACTCGCATGTAGAAATTATTCAAATGATTGAGATTATGAAGTTATAATAGATGTAGATATATTATCGTATAATTCAAAATAATCAATATATTATATCAATTCAGTATACAAATTATTATATTAAATTTAACAACAAAGTTCTTGTTATATTTAAAAAAATATATATTTGTAAAGACTTCAACTATATAGGTGTTTTTGAGCATTACAATGTCAACTTAAATATAAATTTCAATTCCACTTAAAAAACCAAAGAATATTTTGTAAATAGTTAAAAGTGATAAATTATAGTGATAAATGCAAAAACTAAATTGTAATATCAATTTAACTGAAATATTTTCTAAATACATTTTCATAATCGTTAAATGTTTCCAACAGGGCCGATCCAAATGTATATGAGACCTGGGGCGAAAAGAAAAAAAAGGGCCCCTTAAAGACAAATATAATAAAGATTC